CCCTTCCCCTCGCCCTCAGCTTCTTCCCTGGCGGCCGCTTCCTTGGGCCCCCCTCCCCCTCCCCCGAGCAGCAGCAGCAGCAGCAGCAGCAGCAGCGGGGATGCCGCGGGCGCAGCCGCAGCAGCAGCAGCAGCAGCGGGGGGGAGCCCGTTGCCGCGGCTGCGCAGCAGCAGCAGCAGCAGCAGCAGCGGGGATGCCGCGCCCGCAGCAGCAGCAGCAGCGGGGGGGAGCCCGCTGCCGCTGCTGCGCAGCAGCAGCGTGAGGGCCCCGCTGCTGCTGCTGCCGCGAGGCAGCAAACTAATAAAAGGCTTCGAGGGGCCCCAGTTTGTGGGGCTGGGCCCCTCGCTGCAGTACCGGCAGCGGCTGCGGAGACACCGCAGAGACGAGGGCTGGAACTTCTCCAACTTGCCTTTCAAAAGATTCTTTTTTGCTGCTCGAAGAAACCACAGAGACCAGCAGCAGCACGGCTGGCTGCTGCAGCAGCACCGCGCATGCATGCGCAGGCTGCGTGCTCTCCGCCAGCGCCTGCTGCTGCAGCAGCAGCAGCTGCTGCAGCTGCTGCCGCAGCAGCAGCAGCAGCTGCAGCTGCTGCGCGGCGGCCGGCAGCAGCGCAGCCAGCCGCAGGGCGCAGCAGCTGAGGGACAGCAGCAACAGCAGCAGCAGCAGCAGCAGCAGCAGCAGCAGCAGCAGCTGGATTCGGCAAGCAGCAGCAGCGGGGCGGGCGAGGAGGGGGGGGGGCCCAGAGACTGCATTGCTGCAGCAAGAGCTGTGCTGCTGTCGGTGCCTGCTGCTGCAGTGCTGCAGCAAATGTCTGCTGCTGCGCTGCAGCAGCTGCGCGAGCGGCTGCGTGCTGCACTGGTGGACGTGGTGATTGCTGCTGCGCCTCCTGCTGCAGTTGCTGCTGCTGCTGCTGCTGGCTTCGCGCTGCCGCCCACTGCAGCAGCAGCAGCAGCCTCCCCGCTGCCCTGGTGGAGCAGCAGCAAGGGGCAGCAGCTGTGGAGAAGCAACAAGCAGGTGCAGCAGCAGCAAAGCAGCAGAGTCAACTGGGCTGCTGCTAGGCGGCCTGTGGAGCCAGTGCTGGCCGGTTTGCTGCTGCCAGCAGCAGCAGCAGCAGTTGCTGCAGCAGAAAGAAAAGCTCGCCGCCGCGAAGTCCTCGAGGCCATCCGCAGCTTCCTCTTCCCGCAGCAGACCCCCGACAACCCTGCTGCTGCTGCTGCTGCTGCTGCTGCTGCAGCTGCAGCGGGAACGGCGTCTGCAGCGCAGCCAGCAGCAGCAGCAGCAGCAGCAGCAGCAGCAGCAGCGCCGGTGCCCTGGTTCATCACCGAGGAGGAGACACGGCTGCAGCAGCTGCTGAACGCCGGCGCGAGGCCCTGCCGAGCAGCAGCAGCAGCAGCAGCAGCAGCAGCAGCAGCAGCAGCAGGACCCCCTCCTCTTGCTGCTGCCAAACCCCACGGGCCCCCCGAGGAGCCCCTCCAGGGGGCCCCCCAGGGCCCCCCCCAGGGGGGCCCCCAGGATTGCCTCCAGGGGGGCCCCCCTGGGGGCCCCCAGGATTGCCTCCCTGGGGGGGGCCCCCCTGGGGGCCCCCAGGGGCCCCCCGCCGGGGGCCCCCAGGGGGGCCCCCCGGGGGGCCCCCCGGGGGGCCCCTTGGAGAGCCCCCTGCGGAGGGCGTTGGGGGCAGCAGTGGAGGTGCGGCTGAGTCTGGTGGAAGCCACAGTGCTGAAGAGGGGCCCCCCGGGAGGGTACAGTTGGGGGGCCCCCTTTCTTAAGGCTGGCAGCAGCAGCAGCAGCAGCAGCAGCAGCAGCAGCAGCAGCGGCGGGAAGCGCAGCAAACGCAGGCGGCGGAGGCCACCCCCGGAGGCCAGGAGCAGCAGCAGGAGGCTCCGGCTGCTGCAAAACAAACGCGCCAGGCAGCTAGCTAGCCAGCTAGCTGGCTAGCTGGCTAGCTAGCTGGCTAGCTAGCCAGCTAGCTGGCTGGCCAGCTGGCTAGCTGGGGGGGTGGGTGGGTTGCTAGGGTAGCGCGGTAGTCTGGCTTGCTGGCTAGCTGGCTAGCTAGCTAGCTAGCTGGCTAGCTGGCTAGCTAGCTGGCTGGCTAGCTAGTTGGCTAGCTAGCTAGCTGGCGGCGAGCCACGCGCACTCTACGTGGCGAGACAGCCTCATCGAAAATCGCATGGATCATTCGCTAGCTAGCTAGCTAGCTAACTAGCTAGCTAGCTGGCTAGCTAGCTAGCTAGCTAGCTAGCTAGCTAGAGGCCCCTAGGCCTTCGAGACTGGCTAGCTAACTAGCTAGCTAGCTGCCGAGCTAGCTAGCCAGTTAGCTAGCTAGCAGCCGAGCTAGCTAGCTAGTTAGCTAGCTAGCTGTCGAGCTAGCTAGCTAGTTAGCTGGCTAGCTGTCGAGCTAGCTAGCTAGCTGGCAAGTTGGCCGGCTAGCTAGCTGTGCAGCTGTGGGCCGCCGTGGCTAGCTGGCCAGCCAGCCAGGCAATGTAGGCCTTCGTGGCTAGCT